ACCCCAAATTTTGGGGTTTTTGGGATTTTGGTGTCTCGCCTGTTTTGGGGTTTTTCACCCCAAATTTTGGGGTTTTTGGGATTTTGGTGTCTCGCCTTTTTTGGGGTTTTTTACCCCAAATTTTGGAGTTTTTGGGATTTTGGTGTCTTGCCTGTTTTGGGGTTTTTTACCCCAAATTTTGGAGTTTTTGGGATTTTGGTGTCTCGCCTGTTTTGGGGTCAGTTTTGGGGTTTTTTGGGGTCAGTTTTGGGGTATTTTCGAGTATTTTGGGGTGTTTTTGGGCTCTCACCCCTTTGGGATCTGTTTGGGGTCACTTTTGGGATTTTTTGGGGTATTTTGGGGTTTTTTGGGTCACTTTTGGGGTTTTTGGCTCTCACCTCTCTCAAGGTTTTTTTGGGTCAGTTTTGGGGTTTTTTGGGTGTTTTTGGGGTATTTTGGGTTGTTTTTGGGCTCTCACCTCTCTCGGGGTTTGTTGGGATCAGTTTTGGGGTATTTTGGGGTGTTTTTGGGGTATTTTGGGTGTTTTGGGGTGTTTGGGGGGTATTTTGAGGTGTTTTGGGGTATTTTTGGGGGTTTTTGGGTGTTTTGGGGGTGTTTTTGGGTTCTCACCTCTCTCTGGGTTTGTTAGGATCAGTTTTGGGGTATTTTAGGGTATTTTGGGGTGGTTTTGGAGTATTTTGGGTGTTTTGAGGTTTTTTCGGGGAGTTTTGGGGTATTTTGGGGTATTTTCGGGGTGTTTTGGGGTATTTTTGGTGTTTTGGGGGTATTTTGGGGTGTTTTTGGGCTCTCACCTCTCTCTGGGTTCGTTAGGATCAGTTTTGAGGTATTTTGGGTTTTTTTGGAGTGTTTTGGGGTGTTTTGGGGTTTTTTTGGGTGTTTTGGGGTATTTTGGGGTCTTTCGGGGTGTTTGTGGGGTATTTTGGGGTGTTTTTGTGTGTTTTGGGGGTATTTTGGGGTGTTTTAGGGGTATTTTGGGGTGTTTTGGGGCTGTTTTGGGCTGTTTTGGGGTGTTTTGGCTCTCACCTCTCTCGGGGTTTGTTGGGATCAGTTTTGGGGTCTTTCGGGGTATTTTGGGGTTTTTCGGGGTGTTTTCGGGGTATTTTGGGGTGTTTTTGGGGTTTTTCAGGGTGGTTTTGGGGTTTTTTGGGGTGTTTTTGGCTGTTTTGGGGTGTTTTTGGGCTGTTTTGGGCTGTTTTGGGGTGTTTTGGCTCTCACCTCTCTCGGGGTTTGTTGGGATCAGTTTTGGGGTTTTTCGGGGTGTTTTTGGGGTATTTTGGGGTGTTTTCGGGGTATTTTAGCGTGTTTTGGGTTTTTTTGGGGGTGTTTTGGGCTGTTTCGGGCTGTTTCGGGCTGTTTTTGCCTCTCACCTCTCTCGGGGTTTGTTGGGATCAGTTTTGGGGTCTTTCGGGGTGTTTTCGGGGTGTTTCGGGGTGTTTTCAGGGTATTTTGGGGTATTTTGGGGTATTTTCGGGTGTTTTGGGGCTGTTTTGGGCTGTTTCGGGCTGTTTTGGGGTGTTTTTGGCTCTCACCTCTCTCGGGATTCTTTGGGATCAGTTTTGGGGTCTTTCGGGGTGTTTTTGGGGTATTTTGGGGTGTTTTTGTGTGTTTTTGGGGTATTTTGGGGTGTTTTTGTGTGTTTTGGGGGTATTTTGGGGTGTTTTGGGGGTGTTTTGGGCTGTTTCGGGCTGTTTTTGGCTCTCACCTCTCTCGGGGTTCTTTGGGATCAGTTTTGGGGTCTTTCGGGGTGTTTTTGGGTGTTTTGGGGGTATTTTGGGGTGTTTTTGTGTGTTTTGGGGGTATTTTGGGGTGTTTTGGGCTGTTTCGGGCTGTTTCGGGCTGTTTTGGGGTGTTTTTGGCTCTCACCTCTCTCGGGATTCTTTGGGATCAGTTTTGGGGTCTTTCGGGGTGTTTTTGGGTGTTTTTGGGGTGTTTTTGTGTGTTT